ATTATTATTATTATTATTATTATTATTATTATTACCTTAGTCAAGAACGGAACAAGAAGCCCAAATCGTCAGACCCAACAGGAGTCTAAAATGGGTCTTATGAGGCTACAACCAGCCCCTCTAAAAAGGCCTAGAACGAAAGCCAAAAAACTCCAGTTTTCTTCTACATAAAAACAATTGAAAAACAAAGCATCAAGACAGTTCAAGACAGGATCAATGCACAAGAGTCGTAAGAGCCAAGAGACAGGTAACTTAATGAATACATCGAAGAAAGTAGGATGCAAAAACCTGACTAGAACTCTCCTGTGTTTTGTTTTTCCCTCTTTTTTTGCAGAAGAAAACTTTTTTGGCTTCCGTTCTCCGCCGCTTTTTGGGGGGCCAGGTTTTAGCCTCATAGGACCCTTTTTGGGTCTGACGAGTTGGCCTCATTCGCACCTCCCTCTACGGCCCTTTCGACTTAAAATTCCGGAAATTTAGAAGCGGGGATAAATGGTACGGAAAATTTCCCCGAAAGATTCTGGAAAGTAACGAAAATTGTTCAATTTGCGAAATGCGAAACGTTCAACTGAAAATTTAGGACATTCCGGGAACAGAGATTCCCAATAAGAAATTTTCGAAAATTTGATTATACTGTATAACTCTGGAGGTTGTTCTCTTTCCGGGAAATTGAGGAAAATGATGTTGCATTCCAATAGAATTTTCCGGAAATTCGAACCGGAGTAACGCCACTTTAAGGAGAAATCACGTGATTATTGTCGCATAAATTACACGGTCTAAAATATTATTGTGTTCGGCGTTAGGAAGGAAGAAAGGAAGTTTTTCCCCTTTTGTGAAGGGGACAATGTTGCGGTAACTCGTTAGGTAAGAACATGCGATTATAAATTATTGCTGTCACAGTATTTAATTCTCGCATGAATGGATGCGCACTCATTAATACTGTCTTCTGTATCCACTTTATCATCTGTTTTCAAAATATTAAGCTAAATTTGATCCTAATTTAAAGGGAAAAGAACTTTCTGAGGATGAAGTAACCTATCAGGAATTCTTGACAAAGTTATCCTATTGTGTTGTTCGGTAACGGACGAAGAAAAGATCACAGTTAGTCGAACTGGCTGAATGCTTGCACATTGTTATCAGTCTGTAGATGTTGTAGATGTCATGCCCTCGCTTCTCTGAGTAATTAAGCCTAGATTTATACATTTGTAACCCGAGTTACAGCTAAGTCAGAGTAACATCTAAGTGCAAATTATGAATTTTCTTTGATTGTTTGAAAAATATACGTGTGATGATGTACTTTAGCGGCAAAAACATCTTCGATCGATTTTGGCGTCCAATGCAGATTTTCATAGGGGTGGGGGTAGGGGGGAGGGGGGCATGATCCCTTGAACCCTGAAAGATTTTGCATTTTCTTCCTTGTTCCACAAAATGATGAATTCTACCGTTCTCTAAAATTTTTTCTGAAAGCTTCTGTCAATAGTAATATACCCGCTGTTGTAACCCTTTCCAAGTCAGTCTGACATCATGGGATACCCTGCACAACAGAGATTCCCTTCGTTTTTTACTTAGGGAGCCAGAGGAAATCTCAGTGTCTTGCAGGGATTATCAGAATTTTTCCTAAAAAGGATGTTACCATACCCAAAGGCACCCAAAGACTTTTAAGGATGCCCCAAATATTCCTGTAGACATTTTAAACATTTCCTGGTCTCTGAGTTTCAGAATTTCTTTTGCCAAACCTTCGCCACTGCTATTCTTTTCTGTAGAAAATCGGCATGAGGCATGTGATGAAGAACAAGAATTTCCAGGTATATAGTAGGATTGCCCTTTGTTCCCTCTGAATAAACCAAAAAGTTTCCCTTGTTCATTTGAAATGAATGGTTATGTTTCCACCCCTGGGAGACCTTCTTTATTAAACGTCAAGGTCAAGTGTTTAATGTAAGCTTAATTATCTGTGAATCACAGACACAACTTTGTTTTACACTTGTAAGTGTAATACCTATTGTATACAATTATCACAAATTAGGGAGGTGCAGCCTCTCTAAATGAATCTGCCATTGAAAAAATAAATTCATAGGAATTCATTTACCTGCATGAGGTGGTAAAATTGACATATCAATTTTCTGAAAGCTTCAGTCCTCTTTACTTTTAGTGTATAATATAAATTTGAACTTGAGATGGTCTTACTTACCTAATTTTTAGAAATAAATTTGCCGGCAATTCTGCCACCTTAAATGACAGGACTTTCCAAAAAAGGGTTTTTAAGTTCCCCGGGATGAGGGGGCAGGGGCAGGGGGCAGTGAGCCTCCCTTGTAATAAGCTATAATGTAGGTACATATATCTGTGACCCTAAAAAGTATGGTTTTTGTGCCATGTTGGTCTGCAATTGGGTATAAATTTTGTTCATTTTGGGTGTTAATATAGGGTATGCTTTTTTTGGGTACAGGTAGTTGTTTAATAGAGATTATTAAATTAGTAATTGTCAGGGAATGTGAAGCCTTTCTCAAATGGTTGTGTAAATGGGAGGGTCATTCATGGTTGGATGAGGTCACGTATTAGATTAAGACAGGGGCTGAAATATGGTATTGATCAGCGGGTCACTGTCCTGCAATTGAGGGTAATGACTTCATGAAGCAAGTCAAGGCTGCAGACCACCCTGCAAGCACAACCATTTTTTTCGGCTCTTGTTTCATGCACTGCTTTTGCAGGCTAAGGTACCACCCTCCCTCAGATTTCAGTGGCATTTGGAACTTGCTCCTGGCAGCGTGACTGTTTGCGATAACCAACATCAACTAAAATAAAATTATATTTCTCTGTATTTAAATTATCTCTTTCTTTACAGTTCTTTTTGCTTTCGATTTTTCTGTTGTTCAGTAACACAGATTAAAATTGAGGAAGATGGAAACAGAGTTGATAATTACAGTTACCCATAGTAATAGACCACTCCTCATGAACACTAGAGGGGGTGGTGCCAGTTTTGACTTGAGACTGTGGGAATGTATCTTTCATGACAATTTTTCTGTTCGAGGGGGAAAGGGATTAACCAATTTATGCCCCATGTATTGACACATATAAAGTTGAGTATGAAATGTAGAGACCACTCATATTAACATCGTCAGCTGGTTCATTTTCTAGCTAAAATTCACCTCTGGTTTTCTCTTTTCATGTAGCATTATTTGTCGAATAATACAAGATGAATGTTTCATTAGGAACTGCAACATTTGATAGAGGTAAGTCCATGACTCTGTCATTGTAAAAAGATCTTGTTGTACTATTTTGTAAACTATGCAGGCACCCTTGGTTATGATAATTATAAGAACATACAACAGCTGTACATGCATGTCTGTCTTAGATGAGTGTCTGCACTGAATTGGAGTTTTCATAATTTAGAAGAGGGAATTGAATGTGATATTAAACTAGTGATTTTAAGTACAATAAGTTTTCTCCATGTTGGTTGTGATTTGGCATTTCCTTTTTCCTGTTTTTAAATCTTGGTATGTTTTTTCCAACAAATTCCACGCATGCTGTAATCACTACACCCTGAAGGATCACAGGTTTATGGGGTAAACCAGCTAATATGTTATCAAGTCTGCACAAAGAAATATTACAGATTGATCTTTAATCTTAAGAAATTCTTTTATGAGCTCACTGGCCTTGATGAGCCAGTTATGGACTGGGGGCGGGG